AAAATATGGTTTAATGTTACTTGCAACTGGATAAACTGAATAAACTCTGGAAATCAGAACTGTTATGAGGAAGGCATTGCCTATGAATGAGAATGGGGAGCAATTAAAAATCTGCAGGCTCTTACTAACAGAAGTGCCTTGTAGGGAGGAAAAAGGAATTACTTGAATAGAAGGAACGGTAACAACACTGATCTCTCTTCAAAGTGAGGGTTTTTTGGTTGTTGTATGTTGTCTTGCACTGTTGGTACCTTGCAGTGTTTTGAGTTGCACCCTTGAAAATGTGTTCAAACATGAAAAGAATGGATAACAGGATCATCTAGAAAACCAAACAGAAGGTCTTTCACTGCAGAAAGACCGACAGTGCTCGGTGTACTTTTTGTGTGAATTCCTGTCCCTGAAACTGGCAGATGAAAGTTGAAAAGGGTATGTGCTCCTGGAAAACCAGGCCCTTGGCTTCCATTAAAAGTGTTCAATGTGTGTCTACTCCCTTTTTGCACAGCAGGGAAGGTGCCCTGCAGATCTGTTCTATTACTGCTGCTTCATTTCTGAGCCACAGATCGTTTCTTGTGTGTAAACAATCTCATATATTCTGGGGGTTTTAGAACTCATTAAACTTTCCATTTCACTAGAAGTGGTAAGAGAGGCTATCAAAAAGTACCACAGCAGATGAAGCATGGTCTTAGGTCAGTTTGAGATAAAGTGAGCATTGAAATTTGTCTTTTTCAGGAAATGGGAGATTATTCTGTTCTTTCTTCACAGAGACTGCAGTGAGCAGACTGCTGAACCAGTAGGCTTCAAATGTGAACCCCAGTCCAAAATGTCATTTAGCTGAGTGTACCTTCATGGCCAGGGCCTTCAGAGTGCAGCCACAGACAGCTCCTGCAGCTCAGCTTCATTTCCTGCAGGCAGTGAACAGCCAGAGTCCTGGGCTGCCCCTTATCCTCAGTGAGCAGATCAAAGAACGCCAAATGCACAAGGCTGGAAGGAATTGTAAGAGATACAATGCAGCTCTTGGTGGTGGCAGCAGGTTCCATCACAGCATATCTCCATCCTGTTTACCTGGTTCTTTTTGACTGTCCAGTGAAGGCAGCTGACAGCTTCAGAGGGTTCCTAATTTAGTTGGATTAGCCTAAATCGCCTTTGCAAGTCTTTCAGACATGTTGAACAACTGCTAGCTTTTTACTTTGTAGGATTATCTCCTGGGCTAAGGCATGTCTGTGTGTCAGACAACACTTAACAGTATGAGGTTGATGGCTCTGACAGAAGAGCTCTGGAGAGCCTGTTAGGAGCCACCTCCTCAGTGGAGGCTGAATATTCAATTGTTCACCTTGCTATTACTGTGGGGTGTGACTATCTCCACCTAAGAGCCAGCACAGCTGAGAGGAATGTGGGCTTGCACTGGCTGAGCAGTGCTGTGCACCTGGGATCAGCCTGCTGGGTCTCAAATAAGATGGTGGGTGAAGCTGTATGTGGAAACATTTCCTTTTTGCTGCCTCTGCAGCAGCACTTTGGATCAGTGAGCTCATGGCATTGATTTTGGATGATTTTGCATGTGATGAAATACTCATAAACTCTCTCAGCTCAGTGTTTTTTTCTGCTCACACAAAGCATTGCAAGGAGGTGAGCCTTAGGCTCACTAGCCCTACACCCCTGAGCACACATTCAAGCACCTTCCCTCCCAAAGAATACAGGATATATGCGCTGCCCTTTTCCAGTAAATATGCTATATTGTGGCAGAAAGCTAGGTCAGACCGGTTTGTTTTGGTTGGTTCTTTACAAAAGTAGATTTGCTGATGTGGGCCATCTGTCTCAGATATTTATAACTAATTCACAGTTTGTTTTGGTACTCTGAGTTAGGCTGACAGGTCTCCAATTCCCTGTGTGGTTATCATCCTCTTCCCTTTTTACGGTTCTGTGCTTGCTTTTAGGCAGTGCTTTAGGTCTTCCCTCTTTTCCTGTGAGTTCATGGTGGTTTCATCTATTAGTGTGTGGTTGCTTTCAGTCTGTTGGTTGGGGTTTTTTAATGATAAAGAATTTTTAGTAAGATTTCATCTGCTTCAGTTGACTTTGCTGCATGAATCCCTTCTTTAAACATATTTCTGTGGTCAGCACTCTTGTCAGTTATGTGCCACTTTTGTTTTAACATAAAATAGGTTTTTTTCTATATTTTTATTCCACGTCTAGCACTTTTCTGCACTTTTTTGGCCTCCTGTGAAGCATTACTGACCTGTGTGGAGTTGCTTAAAATCTGGCTTTTTTTCTTTGAGATTCTCTGCCCTTAATCTGCTCTACTCATTCCTTCCTTATATTTGATTAGTTGATGTTATAATTTCGTCATCACCATTACCCAATCCATCTTCCACCTTCAGATTTCCAAACTTACCAGTTTCTCCCTTTTAGCCAAACCAGCTCCGTCTTCTGAAGTGAACTGTCCCCAGGGTGTTGGGAGACGTTTCCAGTTATGTCAATTAATTTTTTGGATAAGCTCAGCTGTCATTATAGTATGTGCCCATCTCTTGGGGCAGGTGTATACTGAAAGGTGGAACACACTGGACAACTTCAATTTCCTGTGGGATCTTAATGGAAAGGAGTTAGTGAAAGACTTTGGTAACCAGAGCTGTCAGTGTGACACCTTGCAGGAGCACCAACTTCACATAAAAGCTGACAGAATTAGCAAATGCCACTGTAGTTACAGGAAACGAGCAGATAGTTTTGTTCACTGTAGACTTTAAAGACAGCTCCTGATTTTATCATCCAGCAAGTATTCAGAAGTCAAAATGCCAACATGTCGCAGTGCTAATCTTGTTTTCTCTGAGTCAAGCAGTTGGCATGGTATTTTATTAGTAGTCTTTTCCAGAATATGTCCCCTGTTCACCACAGGCTGCATGAGTCAGGGCTGTGATTTGGAAAATCTTGTTGTTTCTAAAGTGGAGTTAACTGAGTGTAACTGTAGCAGGAGTGTCTGATTGGTGTTTTATGGCCATTTCAACAAGAAGTGTGTTTCCCTTTTATTGTGACCACAGATAGTAGGATGAGTCTGGAGTCTCTAAGGAGTAAATAATTGTGGACCAAGCTGTAAAAATACCAGAAATTCTGCTTGCTGGAGGTGCCGGGGTTGTGTACTTGTCCATCATTTTCTCATCAGAAGCTTGAGAAAAGGGATCCTGCTGGTACCATTCCTCCTTGTCTGTTGGTTTGGCTGTGAAATGGGCAGCTCCTCAGAGACTGGAGGGTTTTGCTCAAGAGGGGAATATTATGTATCAGTTGTTACGTGGTTGTGTTTTGCTGACCATTACCATCAGTGCCTGGATGTCTAGCCTTTTCCTAAAGAATGCTCCATCTTTGGTGCATGGCTCTGCACCTGGGGGTGGCACCTTAGACAAATGTCATTTAGTGAGTCTAACCAGCTTACAGCTGATTTTCTTCTCAGACATGTGGAATTAACCAAAGACAATAAGATCCATGCCTGGCCAGTATGTTGTAAGAACTGACTTTTCATTTGCTGGTGTTGAGAGGAAAGAAGAAATAGTTGAGCTTGACTTCCCTTCTTCTCTTCTCCTGGTTACACCTCCATCTTCACCCTCAGTTATGGCAGCAGTGTCCTGTAGAGACTTAAGTCTTTTTGTGCTTTTGGCAGGTTCCCTCATGCTTAAAAGAAGGAGGGAGGGATGGGGTCCTTACTTTCTGCTCATGATTCAGCTGCTGCTTCCTGTTAACTTTGGCAAGACATTGAATCTTCTCTACCTTTCAGTGAAAGTAAATATTTTTCTTCTCTAGCTCTGGTAAAGTCAGAGATGAGACTCCCACTGCTTTCAGTGACACCCTCTATGCTTGTGGGTACAGGGGGACATAGCAAAGTTTGCTAAAAGAAGGTGCTTTTATTCCTGCTGACCCTTATCTTCTCCCCATGTTCCCCTGTGAAGCAATGAGTATCTTAAATAGCTTTGTCCTGCTGTGAGTTTTGTTACCCACGTGTTGGCAGAAGTTAGTTCTGCAGGTAGATTTCATGCTGATGGAAGATGATAACCTGGAAAATGATCCATTTGTTGGCTGTTGACATGAAGCTTGGTAGGAAAATCTGTGCTTCCTTCTTAGGCAATGCAATTTGTAAATGCCAGCAGGTTTGCAGTTTATAGGTGCCTCTCCCTTGCCTAGCCATTCCCAGCCCAGGATTTGCAAAGCAGTAATTAGTCCTTGTTTATGCCATTGTGATGGTATTATATCCATTGTTAGATGTTGAGCAAGGCAAGCACAAGGCAGTTAAGGAGATGCCCAGGCTCCTGCAGTAAAGCAGCTGTAGCACCAGAGAATTCTCTGTGACTGCTCAGCAGCACTTCCCTGCTGCAGCTTTTCTGTGGTACATGATACCTGATACTGAATTAATAGCTCCCACGAGTCTGGTCTGCACCTTGTAAGCCCATCATTCGTTACTGTGCAGTGTAACTGTGGGATTCCTGTCAGCAAGGCAGCTTTTGGTAAATTAGGTTATATTATGTGCAATGTTTGCTTGCTGACTCCTTGTACTTAGGGCTGCTGCTGTTAGCATCTTTTCAAATTTTTGGTAAATCATCCCCAGTGAATCTAGATACATGAAAGGTGTTCTGCCTTCAGAGCATCTTCCTTCTGTAAAGAAGGAAGTGATGTAATTGTTTCTGTGAGACTCTGATCCTAACAGACACCATAGTGTAGCCTGTGCTTCAGAGGAATCAGCTTTTCCATGGCTTTATGCACTTTATACAAAAACAGGCATTCTGGAAGCCTGGGCTCTTTGGTAAGACATGGTCTGATGCAAATCCAGGGATGTAAGCTATGATGGCAAGAGAGGTTCTAGCCACCGAAAAGAAGCATTTGGTGTAACTTCGTGCGTGTTACTAAAAGCTGAGAAGGAAGGCGTTTTCTTATTAATATGTTCCAATTAATGAGTCTTTAATTCATATAATAAAAATAAAGCTTTTCCCTTTAACAGCTGCCACTAACTGAGAGCTTTTGTTTTGTTGCAGATTGTGGAAACCTGAAATAAAATATCCTGTGATTGACAAGGTGACAACAACACTGCAAGGTGGGTTTTCTGTTTTTGTTGGTCTCATATCAGTCATTCCAGGGCTCTGGAAATGCTGCATCTTGATTTTACTGGGATGGATTACCTAATGAATCTCTGGGGCTTGTTCAAACAAACCCAAATAGTTTGACAGGACTGCTCCTATGCCTGCATGTACATGAGTTATGTATTTTTATGGTGTTTTAAACAAAGAAAATATTACATTTTCTGTGCTACACGGTGAAGGTGTTTATGGCACAGAGGTGGAAACAAGTGAAAATAAAAACATTGAGATTTTTGCCAGTTTTTTAATGTAGACATCTTTTATGTAGGAAATGTCCTCTTGTCATTGTGAGTTGAGCTGCTGCTGCTCAGCACAAGCACTGGAAGTTGAATCTGTGACGTGGCATTTTTTTCTTTTCGCACTTTAAATTTAGAGTTCACACTTAGCAAAAAAAGTTCCCTACAACATGTGCTGATCACTTGTGTGTTAGTCACCACATGCTCACCTTGTCTGAGGATTCATTGCTCTGTTTTATTGAAATGTTTTATTGAGGTTGTTTATAGGATATGCACATTTGCAACACAGCCCAGAGGCAGAGAGATGCTGATCCCAGGATTTCCCACTTGCACCCCTGGTATTATCTGCTCAGAGGGGAGTTTGTGTAATGGGTGCAGACAGCTTTTAGTTATTTGAATGACTCAAGTGAAAAACAGCTCAGAGAGAGCTGGGAAATACCATTTTCACTTATCCATTGGTTATTGGAAGAAGAATTACTTGGTCATTCTTCGTTCAAGAGAAGTTAAGTTTTCAAGCACCAGGTTTATTGAGTGACACTGCACAGTCATAATGAAGTTGGATTTTGCTCTTGGGTTTGGTTTTTACCTTTTCTGTAGTTGGTTCTTTTCTGTCTTCTTTATCGGGTGGAGAAAGGAGTGAAAACTAGGACATTTGTTGCCTGTATCTGTGTGCTGGGTGTGGTTTCTGGTGACAATATTGCTGCTCTTACTGCAGCCTCACATTTCTCTTTTGGAGGTCATAGATTCACGCCTTCACACAAAGGAAAAAACTTTCTGGAGGATGTGTCCACAGCCACAGAGCGAGCAGCAGTATTTCAGGGCAGAGCAGCAGTGTTTTTCTGCTGGGTGTTTCAGAGTGTGTTTCTTGTCACCAGCTCTGAAATGCTGCATTATAACTGTGACAGGCTGCAGTGCAGATGTACCACTGTATTTCTCAAGATGTTTTAAAAAATTGTCGCAGTCATGTAAGTTCCTCTCTGGCAGTGGGAGAATCAGGGGAGATGTGAGGATTTATCAGCAAGGCTCCTGTAGTCACTGTTCTTGAGTAGAAACTGCCAGGGTATTAATCCTTATTGGTATCCTTATCCAGTGAAAAGTGGTCTTGGCTTTTGTTTCAGTGAGCACATGAGGTTTCTTTTATCTGCTCCTTGTCAGCCTCTGCATGTCATTGAACTTGAATCATTGGGCAAGAAGTTAAATGGTCAGGAAGAGATAGGTCTTTCAAAGCTGTAATAAGCTCAAATCCAAAAACTTAAACAGGAAGGAGTGATTGAGGATCTGAGCTGAACGTGTAAGACAAAGCTGTTTGGTGGGTGCTTTTTGCAAAGAGCAGAAGGGAAGCTGAGGAGAATTCATTCTGCATTTCATTGTGCTGGTTTGTGCTTCAGTAGTCTTTGTAGCAGGGTTTGAATGTGCTGTCTGTTCTTACCGAAGATTTATCACAGCTGATATGTGTAACCAGGAAAGTCAGAGCAGGCTGGTGAACTTCAGCTGAAAGGAGTAGGCAAACTCCTGCCTGCTCACAGAATTGAGCAGTAACCCACTTCTCCCAGTGCCTAGATATTGGTACTTTCAGCTGCATTTGAGCTGCTCACAGTTTATCAATAGAAGCTGTGTTCTTGCATAAATGGAGAGCAAAGGCCCTCTTGTAATTAAATAATCAGTTGTCTAAATCCCATTTTATTAAGCTGAACACACAGTACAGACTAGAGGAGTGGTCGTGCACCAAGGCTGTTTAAACACATCAAACTTTTTCAATTTTATTAGGTTTTGTTCTTCTCTTTCTGTCTACTCCTTGTGAATCTAGGGCACATGCAGATCATGCTCAGTTCTCTTTTTCTGTCTTGCTAGTCTTCCTTATAACCTTCTCTTAGGTGTGTACACAACCCATATAATGGCACAGAGAAGCTCTTCACCTGTTTATTGGTCTCAGCCTGTTGCATCACTTTCTGAACTGCCCCAAAGGTCCTTCTTTGCTCATCAGACAGCAGTGTATCTTGCACAAAGGAATGAAAACAAGACTGTTTGTCTCAGGCTTGTCTCTGCAAACTCAGGCATGTGTTGAACATAAATATCACCTAATTTTTCACACTTGAAGGGCAATAAAAACCCAATCCTCAAAAGAAAATATTAAATGTAAGCAGAACTGTTGTGTTTTACTGAGAACCTGGGGAAAACAAAGCAACAAAAAGATGGCTTTATTTCTTAGCAGAATATTTCACAGGAAGAACCTAAGTGTACATAATGGTACCAAAGCCTCTCTTTATTAATGGTTAATTTCTCTGTGGTATGAACAAAAAACAGAAGAGAATTTTATCAGAAGCCTGAAGACCTGCATTGCCTAGCATAACATTAGGCCCTTGTATGCCATTACTGCTTGCAAGCAGCGTGCTTACCCTGATCTCCTCCTGCTGTAGATGAGCATCTCAGGAAGCTGGGAAGGCAATGTGGGATTGAGCCATTTTCTGAAGAACCTCTCTCTTTCCATTAACTCTAGAAGAAACATAGAGAATATGTAGAATGAAGGAAATGAGTGAACTGTGTTCTCAGAAGCCCTATAAACAGACAGATCTAGCTGAACATTTGCCTTTGTGTTGTTTTTAAAATATACAAGAAATGTCATCACCACTTACACTGTGGTGTCTTTAATACTTCTTTCTTTAAATTGCTGCTGTTCTGGGCTGTTTCTCTTGTACAAGTGATCTGCTGTAGCCCAGCAAATAAAAAATTGTAATAAGGCACCTGATCTCTTGGAGAAACCTAAGTTTCATCCTGCCAGGGTATACTGGTTCTCTAGTTCCCAGTGTAAGATTATGCACCTCAAGTTGTTTTGCAGAGCTGCTCATCTGTACACACCATTAACGTTCTCTCCTGCTAGGAACAGAAAGTGTAAAGGGATTCAGCATTCAAATTGCTCCCACAGCAACTCTCAGGAACTCAGAGGTTTGTGGGGAAAGCAATGTCATACGTGGCACAGAGGAGTGAGAACAGTCCACGTGGTCAAACAGCAGGGTGTTATCCTTGGGCCCTACTTCTTTCTCTGTGACAGGTTTTCTGTATGATATTCTCCTTGTGCTAAAATTAAAAAAAATAAATAAAAAGAGAAAGACCTACCTGTTGAAACCATTGATATTACATCCAACATCCTTTGGAGAGAATCTCTTTGGGAGAGAATCATGTGAGGCAGAAGGTATTTAGACTAAGCCTTCACGATTTACATTGGAGTTGTAAGCAACTTGATCTTGCCCCAAAAATACCTGCCAGCATTCCAGTTGATTGGAAGTGCTCCTTGTCTTGTTCCAAGTTCTGTTCTTGTAAGAAGGAGTCCTGCAGTGGGGTGTGGGGCAGAGGGAGAGAGTTTGTCCATGTAGAGTTTTCCTGTGGTGTTTGCCCCCGGCAGCACTTGGCTGGGATGTGCAGCACGCTGTCTTGCACTCTCAGGGGGCAATCCTGCTAGCCCTGGGCAGAGGGAGGGCTGTGGCCCAGCCACTGGGCTGCTGAGTTAGAAAAGCACATGGCCTGGGCTGCATCCAGCAGTTCGGGATGGAGGCAACAAACTGTGACATCAGCCAGCCCCAGCTCGTGGCCTTGCAGAGCTGTGTGATGCTCCCTGTGTTGGTAGCTGGAAAAGCAGGAAAGATGTTGGTGTGGTGTCTTCTTCCCCAGAAGCTTGTGGTAGGATGAGGACCAGGGGAGGAAACAAGTGGGAGGTGCTGGATGAAGGTGGTGGCTGTAGAATTTCTGCAGACAAATCAGCTGGCGCCCACATGACTCTGAAGCAGGTGTGCTTGTGGTATGAAGTCTGACAGACCAGATTTCTCATTGCATGCCTCTACTGGAGTCATCACAATATGTTGTTACTGCACAGCAGCAAAACTGGGTTCCTATAGTTCTCTTTCAGGTGCATTTGGGTTCCATGTCCAAACTCCACTTGCTGAAATAATCCAAAACCTGAGATTAGAAATGTACAGAAATAGGTGTTCTTTTAAGGACCACTTTACTTTTCATCTTCTCTGATTACATATGACATATAAAGATGCAGTTTTCTGAGTAATACCAAATGCTTGGGTTGCCATTCTACCAAACACCAGATGTGAAACCCAAAGGCTAGCAGGCTGTTTATTGAAGGAGTATCTGAGCAAGCTGTTCTTATTGATGCCAGCAGCTCCTGAGTGCTAGTTAGTTAACCAAGTAAATGTTTGTGGGTTGTTTTTGATGGGCAATTCCATTGCCAGCAGTGCCTTCAGGAAAAAAAAAAAAAAAAGAAAAATGGAAGGAACAGGTGGTGCACAACTTCTCTTTTAAAAGGAAAAAGGGAAACAACATATTGTAGAATTGCAAGCATCTGCTTCTACTTAATGCTTAGTCTTCAGTCACTCTGAGATGCCATTCATTTGTGTGGAATACATTTGTGTAATAGGCCCTTACAATATTTTGTAACCTTATTTTATTCAGTGGGGCAAAACCACATTCCTTACTACCTCCTGCATGTCATACCAGGAGACTGGAAGGCAATAGGATAAACAGTTTTGATTAGATCCTTCTACAGAGCAGAAAGTAGGATTTTTACTTTTGACTTCAATGGGAGTAGGAGCCAGATCTTTTTTGTGATGTGCAGCAATGATGTCTTCTGAGACAGTCTTGAAGAAATGTTATGCCCTTTAGTTCTAACCGTAAAGGTTTAAATTAAGCAAGATAAGTCTCTTTGGAGATAGAAAATA